TGCAGCCTCACGGAGACTGCCTTCACCAGCCTTGTCTTTACTTGCAGCAGCTCCTTTATATCCAGGACACTGCTCTTCAAGCTTCAAGCCCAAGAGGCTTTGGCCCATTTGCAGGAGCTGAGCCTGTCCAACTTGGTACCAGGACCACCTGCAGTGCTCCTAAGCCTTCCTAGGCTGGAAACAGCCTTAGCTGTAGCTCCATGGCCACCTTCCTCAGAAGTGACTTGACCCCTCACCTGCTCCTCCACTAAGCTGTAGGAACAAAACCTTCCTGCTGGCCATCCTTCAGGCTTCTTCACGCTCTAAGCCGCAGCTTCCACAGTGCTGCAGCACAGTCCCAGTCTTGCCGGCTTTGGCCCCTTTTTGCGTGCAGTCCGCCTGACCCCTCCCCCAAACCTTTGGAAAGGACACGCCCCGAGGTCTCCACAAGTGTTTATTGTCCCAGTATGCGGGACGCAGAGGCTGTCGGAGCCCCAGCACCTGCAGCTGCAGTCACAGGTTACACCCAATGGAGAAGCTGTAGGCACGAGGAGGTGCAGGGCACCGGGGTGGGAGCTGTGGGGGAGGTAGCTTGTCGCGGTGCCGTAGTGCAGCAGCATGGCTGAGGTGTGCAAGTACCTGCCTGGGGCGGGGGAAGGCACCAGGACTGGCACAAGCACTGGGCAGCAAGGGCAGACCAGGGTCTCCTCCTCACACCAGGCATGGCGGCAGCAAGCCCCTGCCCAGCTGAAATGGTGCTGGAGGAGCGGGCTTGTACCCTAAACACCCCCCTTCCAGGAGTGGGAGCGCACAGGGCTCAGCAGAAAAACATTTCAGTGCGGCACAGGCCTGACTGGGCAGGCACACTGTGCTCTGGAAATACCATCTCCTCACCACACTGAGTGGAAAGGGTGTTTTATCCTTTTTCTAACCCCTTTCTGGACCAGAAAGGATCCCCTACGCTGATGGGGAGAGCCAGGCAGTGCGGATTCGTACCTTTGTAGTGCTGCCCCCCTCCAGCTGTCCCAGGGCTGCCTGTACCTTTATTCCTGCCCACATGCTTGCCCTGTCTGCCCAAAGCCTGGCTGCGGTGTCGGGGGGGTCAGCGTCACCACAGAGGGGTTTGGCTGTCTGGGAAGTATTTCATCTTGCCTACCCATGGCAGGGGAGCAAAGCAGCTGGGTCACCCCCACCCCAAATGTGGGTGGCTCAGCCCCATGCTCTTGCAGGGGGGCAGGACACAGGCAGGGAAGGGTGGGCAGTTTGCCCCGGGATGGGCAAGGTGCAGGCAGTGCATGCCCAAGCCCTCAGCCAGCGCCTGGGCTCATCCCTTTAGATGGGAGATGGAGGACATAGCCTGGAAGAAGGGATTTGATTTTGCGGGGCATAGGGGAGGACGGGGCACAGGGAGGAACTCACTGCTCTGCATGGCGGAAGTCATAGCAGAAGTTTAAGTTGCTGGGGGGCTTTGGGATAGGAGGGGGAGTGTCATGCTGATGTTCTCCAGGTCCAGGAGCCGCAGCTTGAGCTCCATGGACAGCAGGACATCGAGGTCCGTCTGTGTTCGCTCGCTTGTCATGTCCTTGCCCAGGAGCACGTTCAGCCCATCCGTCCAGAGGCAGAACTGGGGAAACAGAGCATGGGCATATCTGGCACCAGCCCTGGGCAGCCAGAGAGCCCACCTCTCCCCGCCCTGCGGCTCCCACCCCAGGGAAGCCCAGGAGGGTAGGCTGGGACATACATACACACACACGACTCCCTTCACTGCCTGCTGTCCCCTGGCAAGGACATCTGGCCACAGTGTGCCTCCCCAGCGGGCCCTTGGAGCTCACCTCGTACCGCGTCGGGGCAATGAAGTTCAGGCAGTATTCCTCCACGTCGTACACGATGGAGAAGGCCAGCTCCAGAACATCCTGTGGTGACAGCACAGGGGGGAACCGGCTTCTCAGCTGGACTCTTTCCAGCCCCAGCGGGGTTCAGAGAAGGAGCTGCCTCCCAGCCACCACCTCTGCGCCCCAGAAGACCCAAGAGGTCTCCAGTCTCAAGCCATGTCAAAAACCTGCCACTGTCCATGAAACCACCCAACCTGCCACCATCTACCCACCACCAAAACCCATCAGCAGCTGGGGAGGGGAGTGCACCAGGCCCCCTGCGCAAGGCGGGGTGGGACGTGCTGACCTTGTTCTGTTTCCCAGAGCTCTTCTCCTTTGTGTGAGGACACTCCTTCCCCACAAGCAGCATCTTCATGTCCGCCACAGGAACTGGGACAAGTGGAGGAACTGTGAGCACCCGCTCTGCTCTCCTCTCCCCCAGGTCCACCGTGCTCAGAGCCCAGCAGAACCTGAGCGTGGGGGCTCACAGCCATCCTCAATGTGGGGGGG